CTACTTTAAATCAAAACAAAACGATTACTTAATCAAAGGCATCTTCGAAGATTCATTACAGATTCATTATTTATCATTATTTATTTCATTATTTTTTACTCTCAGGCGTTCCCTTACCGACTGGAAATGAATTTACCGGCAACTGTTCTGGTGTCATATGCTTCCTAAAGAGAGATGCTTCTGCAAAACTGCATGCATCTAGATCTTCTGATGGCCCGGGAGAGGCAAGTGACATATTAAACCACGAGAAAAGCGCCATCAGTGGAGCATCCACTCCATTGTTTCCATTGTTGTCACCATAAATTTATTTTACGGTTAATTTTTCTTCCGTCTAACGGTTAAAATTTGTCAATTTTTACGGCTAACAGCTAAATGATCGGTTATTCCCGTTGAGAACCTCATATTACAGTCCCCTGTTTGGTAAAAGAGAGGAAATAAATGACTGTGAACATATGTAAATCATGTATGTGAACTGCGGCTAAATAAATGAATATGGAAGCGATCGTAATAAACACTACTTAGTCAGTAGTAAAAATAAGGCCTGAAAAAAAAATTCACTACAAGTGCTTATTACTAAGATCGCTTCCATATTCAAAGATTGTAAAGATGCAAATTTTTATGATCAGGTTTTTCAAGGGTATTGCTAATCAGTGTCTTAGAAGCAGTTACATGAAATTGTAGACATTAAAAAGTAAGAGAATGGAAGAGTCTGCAGTTGTCCATGCTACTTTATACTAAAGTCACCGTATCACAATGGTCTAGAGTATAAGTAATACATGTAAACAATCATCTTACACGTGAGCCTTAGCGATAGAGTGTAAATCTTCGCCTACGGGTTTTGTCACAAATAATTCATTCACATAAGAAATTAATAGGTTATTGAATTTTTCATACCCGGGTTGAAGGGAAGAATTATCAAACTTTTAATAATTGTGATAAATGGTGTAGTTTTCTTAAGTGTTATGTGGATTGTCAGTCCATTTTTAAAAAAGATCCGCATTAGTATTTCTGACGAGCTTTCAGTGGATAGACTTAAAGTGGGGAAATAAAAGATCACTTGTTTGAGTGAAGCGTTTTGTGTCGTTACGAAAAATTGTCTAAGTAAAGTCCCAGAACATTCTAATAGAACATTCTAGAACCCGAAGTCACCTAGACGTGACCTTCTGGTAAAAAGAACACTCTGGAACGTTCTATTTCTTACGTAATTATTCAAATTTAGAAACCCTGTTAATCTACTAAATTTAGTTCTTTAGAGAAGTTTCTAGATCCTTATACTTTATGTATATAAGAGCGACAGTTCCATCGAACAGAGAGAGAGATTTGCGAGGAAGCTTAGTGCTTTAAAAACAAGAAGTCAACTACGTGGAAATAAAACAGTTTGTTGTTGTTACCGACGATCCTGAGTTTTGTCTAGGAACAACCCTGCTCTACATCGACACTCGTAACATGTGTTCATCTGTTAATTGACGCACGCAGAAGGTTAATTAAAAGTAAGACTTTTGACAATGTGCTAAACAAAATTGAAGACTGAAGCATTTTTTCTCTAATTCGAGTGCTGAGGAAGGATAACTCCTGAGGACCGGGTACAAAAGTAACTATTGAGAGAAAAAGTTGTCATAAAGTCAGAAATCGCCAAACGTTGTAACTGTCGAACATTAGCAACTAAATGGGGTTGTGCAGCTCAGGTTTTATCAAAACGCAACAATCTGATTGGCCACGCTATTCGCTCTCTATTCCGCGTTAAGTAGTGAGTAACTTACCAGTGTGCGTTTGGAAACAAAATGAAATAAAAGTGTCAGCCTGTTTTGTTTAATTTGGACGACTGATAGATTTAATATAAAATTATATTATTCGCTCTTGATTTCCAAACGTGACAGGTGATTCACACCTCGCAGTCATCAAAGTTTCCCACAAGACATCTCAAGCTCATTATTCAACTATTAACCCTTTTACTCATCTTTACTTGGGGAAATTGGAACCTTGCGTGGGTGGAGGTGGGGAATTTAAACACACACACACACACACACACTCGTCATCATTTTTCCCGATAGGAATAGAATTTTTATGATAAAGTAAGTCATACAGGAATTTTGACAGGTTCTTACTTATGATCTTTTGGAGGACAGACGCATAGAAGTCGTCGCCAACAATAATTTATCCTGCAGTGCAGGCGTCTTATTAGGGCGAGCTAACGTTATAAGTTCGCGATCGTTTATCCGACCGGCCATGTTTGATTTGGAGTTAGAGTGGACGGTGGGGGTAGGGAGCGGGGAATGGGCAAAAGATAAGTAATCTTCACTCCCCCACCCCACTCCTCTCCTTATTTTTGACCGTCAACCGCCCCCTTAGTAGAGATTTCTTTCTCTTCCCGGCCTTCTGCTGCTGTTACAATCAAAGATAGCGGCCATAATTTTCGTAAAAAAAATACTGAGCACATGCTGGCCAAAACTTCCATACTGGGCCTATGTCATGGCCTTTTTACAGAACAGTTTATTTTTAGACTATCCTTTCGCGGGAAATAGGCTACTCGAGCTCACTTGGGTAATACGATCTATGAAACGCGACGAAAAAAAAGGGCGACCCTATGCGGGGACGTTTTCATATCAAAACTACGCAAATTCCGCCTTTCTTTTGCTGTATTCCAGTATTCCAATCCTTCCTTTCCTTATATATTCCACTATCCTTTGCAAATTTTTCACATTTACGAAAAAATTCGCAGGAGTGCGGATCATCATTGTATTTTTTTTTTTGTTTTTAAATTTTCGTGTGTATCAAAGGTCATCCGTCTTCTGATTCTGGCCCCTCTAAAGAAAATTCCATGAAAAGAGTCCAAATTCAAGACGATGAAGAGGCGAAATGCCAGCGATGATGGAGAGCGCAGAAACAAGACCTTGCGTGAGCAAGCTGTGTGCGAGTTGTCTTAATCTCAAGAATCTTCATCCACACAGTCGGTAAAGGAAATTTTGCGACGCAGGATTGAACAGGAGCGGATGCAACAAAATGAAGAGTGTTTTTCTAGATCGCAAGATAATGCTACTCTTTCGAATTAGGCTTCGATCTTGTCAAATCTCAGTTATTTTTGTGAAGTGCGGTCGATAATTGCCGCATGCGGCACAATTCACGGTGCCTATTGTCGTTTTGATCATTGTACAGTCAAGAGTCAGGTTTATCTTCATTAGAACTTTCCTCGGAACTGCTGCTTCCCGAGGTATTTTCAAAATATTCACACCACAAGCGTCCCAAGCTTACCGTTATTCCTGTTATAAGACGGAGTCAACGCTGCGCATTTCGATTTCGACCATTGTATAACAGGAATAACGGTGACGGCAAAGCAAGCTTAAAACGGCAGAGAACGCCGGAAACCACAACGGACACAAAAGATGTGACTAAATTCTATTGATTTAACGTGTAAAATGTTCATATTTCGAAATATTTATCGTTGTAAATCGACCATATTTCGTTCCCCATGCTATTCCTCGTAACATGTTCAAATTCTCAACGGTTCCTCCCCTAAGTCAACATCGAGTCACACAACATGTGACGCTTTCATGAATAAATCGTCTGCATTTTATCGAGACGTGAACTTGGGACGCCTTTGTTCACACGAATCTGCACTCGAACTATCGCAAGAAGCCTTGCATCCCTCTGCTGTTTTTCTTTTGATATATTAACGAGTAAAGTTAGAAATTAACCAGGCGCTAATCTTGATTGGTCGATGTGCTCTCGTGGGGAGTCCTAGTTCGCGGTAAATTCAAACTAAAAATAGACTTCTCTGTGAAAACGCCTGACAAAAATACAGAGCAGTTGAAGGCTCCAAGTGATGGGCTCCTGTCTCTTGTTATTACTATATAACTCGGCAGAATCAAATCAAACTATGACTCACAGATGAGAGTCGATCGCACAACTTCGTCATTCTTAAGTGTCTTCTTACTGTTAGATCACATGATAATTCTTGTTATTATACAGAAGACTTACTATTAAAACTCTGATTGGTCGAGAACATTCAGTCAATAAACAATTATTGGATGAAATTTTGTGATATCCAGAATAATCAAGGTCGAGGTAGGGGTTATCAGCCGAAGCCGAAGGAGTAATGTCTCCTTTCGCAGTTTGCTTAAAAATTGTATAGCAAAACAATGATCAAATTCGGCTTCCCCATGATATTATGAATTATCAAACCTCGTCTCTGTGTTATCTGCCGGAGCCGAAGGCTTCGGCAGATAACTCAGACCTCGGCATCGATAATTCTTGCTTATTTTTCTCTAGAGGTTGAATAAACGACAGTAAGAACTTGAACACACTTGTCAGTGTTTGATGGAATGGTTAAAGGGCTTATTGTAGTGTCAGTGTAATTACACACTTGAGAGGGTATGTTTTCGAGTAATACTGAACATTTTTCATGAAAAAATTGAAGCGAATTGTCTGCATCTTTTAACTGACCGGTCACGCAGGCAAGTCTTCACCAGGATACGAACTTATGATGACGGGAAGATTGTAATGAAGGCTATTTCTAGTTACTTGCGTGACTTTCAATACCCTTTTGCTTTGTGTAACATACTTTCGAATTGTCGGCATCATGTTTCATTCGGGCACGAGACACGTATCAGTTGCAAGTATAATCAGAAGAGAAGATAGATCGAAGGATTGACGAAATATTAGAGTAATAGAACGGGGAAAGAGGTATGTCATATTGTTTATTTTTGTGTTTATATACCGAAACGTGTATAATCAAAGGTAGTTTTGTTTCGCTTAGGATATTTGTGTTGTTTTGATTTATCTGTATACACGCCTCGCGTATTCGAGTTTAGGACCTTTCGATTAATGTATATTATATGGTAATGGCTTATTTTAATTAATTGTATTTCAGCTTTTACGAGCTTTTAAGTTAATAAACGAATTGAGATTCAATAGACGCTCGGAGGTTCCGTCAATATAAAACATTTCTCCGACGTGGCGTTTTTAGATTCGATTGATGTCAGCGTCCGCCCTATTACAAAGATCGTAAATCTCGAGAATCGCAAAATATACCAAAATCTGCCAAAGTTTACAATAGGTCCTTAAGTTCCTTCCTCTCGACTCCCGACTCGCTACAACAGCATTCTGCGGTAAGGGCATCATATGAGTTTAATTATCTCGAAGAGCGGTGCCGTAAATGTTCTAGAAAAGTAACTTTTCTGGTGCGCAATCAGTCAGGATCAATTTCAACAGTAACCCTTACCTTAAGAATAGTCAGTATATAGTTTGAACCTAGGAGTGACTTTCGATCGTGTTGTCTGATCGTCCGAGGGAGAGTAGTCTCGAAAAGGACTGTTGTCGATAACATATGCGTAAAAGTCACTGACGTTTGGACAACCTCAGGCACCGCAGGAGAAAAAGTTATGAGACATTTTATAACGAGGCTAATAAGAGCCCTAGAGTCTCTTGGGTAACATTCCGTCATTTATTATCAGCTTGAAGAGATAATAACCTTATCAACCGTTTAAAACATCCGTGTCCCAAGACAGGGAAGTAGAGACTTCATCCAAGAAAGTTTACATGTTCGAGATCGGAGAGGACCCCAAACACCCTATCTAATTCATGTTCACAAAAGTCGGTTCTTGATGCACGATTCTATTCTCCAAACTAGTATTAAGTTCTACGGAAATACGCCAGCAATGGCATTCAACGGCAACTTAAATAATATGACTGTGTGTTCTGCTATTAATTTCCTTCCGTTCATACTTCGTGACCCGGATGAATGTCAATAAACAGAAGATTAGTGCACAGCAAATGTACACGTAACAGAGATACTGCGACCAGTGGGCGAAGCTCAGGCGAGCGCTGCTTTTTGCTGTCGAATTTTGTTTACTATACCTTATCAAATCAGCCTGTTATCAAATCAGGCGGTGTGCGCACTCTAATTGCGTTACATCATGGTCGTTAAACGAAAAGCAAGTCATTTGCATCGTGTCGCGGTCCAGTAAACATCTCTGGTGGCAGCGTGAATAAACATGGAGTCCAATGGGGATTCACTTTCTGTTGCCGTTCCTTCGAAATTTAAAAAGGGTTAGCGGGCCTGTGCGACTCCTGTTATTCCTCCGTGACAAATTCGTTGTTAGGAGGCAACTGAAGAGATTAAAAAAAAATCGAAACTGCAGCCTTGCCCAAGAATCTATTCATTTGGCAGCAGTTACACTCACAGCCGATGGCTGTGTGAATAATATCAAATTCGCGAGTTATTTAACGGGGAATCGACCCTTGACATGCAAACGCATTACAAAGAGACAGCGACCTTCTAATACACGAACTATTTTTCATGTCATACATTTAAAAGCGTAAATACGGGATCCACGAAAGGAGAAACGTTACGCCTCCTTGGACCAAATTCGTCACGCTCAAAATAACCTAAAAACGTACAGAGTTTCAGGTATGCTTAATGAGTAGAGAATACCTAGAATAAGGTTTTGAGGAACTTATCTCTGCAGTTATTTTCTGCAGGAGAGACAGTATACGCACACATGAAAATTCTACCTTAAGTAACACGATCTCATCCAGCTCTGCCAAACCTCAAGAACATACAGATATGGGGAAATGACATATTAAAACTAACCCTTATTATCACATCGCAAACGAAAGTCATTGAAAGATATTCTAATAACAGCTAAGCTTTCAGGTCAGAAGATTTAAAGCGCAAGCGAATGGCAAGAGTCACACAAGCCTATCAACACCTTTTAACGATCGACTGCCTTTAGCTCTCCTGCTTACCTGTGTCGCCGTATGCATTGTAGAGTTATTCATTGGTCAAGTGACTCCTTTCATTACTCTAATTCAACTGTCCTCCATTCAATGATCAAGATAGTAGATTTATCATACAACACTCGCGATTAGTTAATTTCCTTTTACTTAGGAAAATAGATTTACAACACAATTGAGTATACAATAGTAACGTTGTGTAACGCAACAATAGGCCTCTTCTCGGCCATAATCGCACTCAAACACAAGCACTTAAAATGTGAGAAACACATGTACCGTTGGAGAGCGTTTGAGAGCGTTTGGTCAGAGCTGTTGAAGAAGGATCAAAGCGGCCATCCAAATCCTTGAAAGGCTCCAAACTACGACGTACATCAAATTTGACCTTCTCGAAAACCGGTCTCTAATTACAGTGATTGCGTTTGTCCTTGAGAACCATAGAATACGTGAAAAATACGTACAAAAAAATAGTCACATTCAGAATATATCAAATTTCCTTTACCTATTCCTTTTTTGGGCAGTGGTAATTGCACTTCGTATCGTGCAATCTTAGTCTGAAATCACGCTTGTGATTCAAAAGAATTTGTGCTGCGCACTCGTTTAATCGTGAAATTACGCGGACGATTTCAGACCAAATTGCAAGACAAAGTTCATGATAATGTTGGTAAAGTACAGCTCACTAAATAATATTCACACCCCTAATATTCTAGAAAGGATATAATGTCCTAGAATTTACTTCTAAAATAACTGTATGTTTACCGTTTAAAATTGAACCACAGAAATGCACCGATATGGATGCAAACTCTCCTTTAAAATATATCAAAGATCTATTAAGTCAACTTGTCGCTGAGTGTTAATTACAAATTCAACTTGATTTTCATCCACGGGCCAAATAAAATATTTTTCATGAAAAGTTGTTACCAAATTCCTTTACGGGAAATTCTTACAGCTAGGAGCGCGATAATGCCCGACTAGTGACTCTTGCATCACCACATTATCACCTTTCCTCGTTTTCTCGACTGTCAACTCTTGTTTTGTCGCATTATTGCTTGTTTATTGTTTATCTTTGGTTTTGCTACAGGCTTCCCGTATTTTATAAAAGTGAGGTATTAGTTATATGGCATGATTTTGATACAATATATTTTAGGATAAAAAGGAAAGAACCCACACATAAAACAACAATACCGGCAGGCACACAAACAAACAGATACTGAAACAGCTTGAGAAAAGTAAGAAAACATAAAGGGAAGAAGGATGTCAACTTAGGAGTAACGATCACAGTTTAGACTTAGACAGGGTAAGTGTGCCAACATTTTGAACTTCTATAATCAGAGAATTGAAAACTTTAGGTCCTGTGAAACATAAGGCAAACTATCTAATATTTGTTCAGCAAGGGGTATGTAAAGGCATTGCATTGTCTGGTGTAATAGCGATGATTGCTACTCGAAAATGAAAATAATAATTTAAGAGCATCGGGAAGACGACCTATCTTGAAAAAAAATATGATCTTTCTAATTGGAATCGATATATAAATGTATATATTAATAATTTTCAACTGGTTAAATATAGCTTCAGTATGAGCGGTAAAATTACTTCTTGATACAATTTGTACCACCTTTTTCTGGAGTAGGACAATACGTTACAATGCGTTCCCCGAAAGGGAAAAAAGAAGGCTTGATCGTAGATTAACTGCAATCTTTACAAACGTGTTTTTTTTTCCGTTTCCTTTGGCTAATTTAGCTTAGTCAGAAGCTGGAGATAACCAAACTTTAACGGGGATTCAATACCGATTCTCATGGACAGATGGATGGTTCAAAAGCCAGCAATGAAGGTTTTTATGTTCATAAATTCATAGAACGATATCAGTTTTACTCAATATCCCTTCCAAGTCGTTACTTGTTATTAATAAATATGGCATTCGCAGTTATAATTATTGCGGCTCCTTTTAAGCCAAAATTTTTGTTCAAATGATGTTTACTTGTTTTGCAGCCACTTCTAGTGAAATACTATTTGAACAGGCTCTTGTCACTGAAATCCAAATACAGTCAATATGTGGTGAAGTAGTCAAAGACTGGAGAGACCTGGGTATAGTCTTAGGGATTGCATCAGTGTTTATGGATATTATTGAGGCTGATTACAGCGCAAGCCGTGAAAAGGCAAGTCAAATGCTTCTAAAGTGGAAACAAAAAGAAGGAAATGGAGCAACAGTGGGAATCCTTATAAATGCTCTTGCGAAGATTGAAAGGAAAGACGTCGCCGAAAAACTGCTTGGTATGTAATCTCCTCTTGTAAAGAAATCTCTCGATAACGGATTAATCAAGATCTGTTTACTTTCATAACGAAATGAATGAACTTGAACACCCATGTAGAAAAGATCTTCGAACGAAAGTCTTCGTGGCCTTGTCAAGGAGGCTTCATTTTAGATGTAGATCGCGCCGCGAACAGTTTTTATTGTGCCTGCTGTGCCTTCTCAGAGGCACTAGCTATGTGGTCCTGTGTCAGGCAAGTCCTTAAACCACTCCCAAGCCCTTCGCGGATTCCAAAATGGCGGAGTAACGCGAGCATTCATAACGGCTCTTGTGACTCGTTCTGGTTCAGCTCCGACATAGGCCATCATTGAACGAATCTGATCGAATTTCTTCGGATTCATTTTTGGTTTTGTCGGGTTTAGTTCGATGTTTCTCCGGGTCTCATCTCTGCATTTTGGCATTGTTGTCGATTTGAACGTAAAAGATATGTCGTCGAACGTTGTCACATGTGCGTTTTACTCTGAACACTTCTTACATATCCTTTGATGAAGAATATAAATTGGAAGGAAAAAGAAAAGAAAACAGAACAAAAGACAACAAAAAGTTCACGCGGCCAGGGCTCGAACCTTAAGCTCGTTTCGGACTCGAAGGAGCAGGTATATACATCCTGCTAAGTACGAATAGCATGCAAAAGTTGGTGAAGCAGGTAATTTAGTGTTAACAACTGAGTTGAAAACGTAAATTGGCCACCGTAAAGAGTTAAAAGGTTGACGTTTCGAACGTTAGCCCTTCGTCAATCGCTCTGGCGGAATTACCTGCTATGCTCTCTCACCGACGCAGCACCACAGTTTCTTTAGAAACTTACCCTCTTTATTCAAAAGTTGGTGAAGTTGTGTTAAAATACGTTTGACGCACATTTAATTCATGAAGAAATTAAATTAATTTCCTGCCCTCGGCCTGTCAATTTACCAATGTACAAACTCTGTTCTAACCAAGTATTCCTTTCATCACAATTTTGGCTTTGACAAGAGCTTTTCATTAACACCTAGCTTACACTACAAATGATATGATGCTTACCCTACTTGCATTACGAATTTGAAATCAATAATTAGCTTACTCTACATACTAAACAATATTTACTTACACTAGGTGAGGCTATCACAATTTATTAGAGGTAGGCTACACCGCAACACAGACACAATGCAGATAATTCAGTTACATTTCGGAGCTTAAGTTCGTTAACAAAAAAAAAAAGAGTGCTGACTTTAAATGAGCCAACTACAAATTCTCTCCGTGCGGTATCAAAAAAAAAAGGAAAAAAAAAGAAATAGAAAGAAAAATAAATAGATAAATGAATAAATAATTAAAAAGGTAAATAATTAAAAAATTTTGTGATGATGATTCCCATCTTTTCCTAGAGCCTTAAAGTTTCTTATTTCTTAAGGAAATGAACCTTTTCGTCTCCTGTTTAGCTTCTACTTTGTGTAGAAACATAACAAACTTTGGTACCGATTTGTTTCTTCTACAATCCCACACACACACACACACACACATATATATATATATATATAATATATATATGCATAGTTTACCCAGAATTATCAAATAGTTTAATATATCTTTTCTATTTAAAATGCCAACTATAACATCTTTGAGAGACAAGCTTAGGTTTTCACTCAGAAGATTAGACCACCAATTGCAAAACCTCTTCCATAAGGCGCGCACATGGGAGCAGTCATAAAAGAGATGGTATAAGTCTTCTTTGTAAATTGCGCAAAAGGAACACTTCTCTGACTCAATTAACCCAATTTTGAATAATTTGGTATTTTTAAACAGAATGTTATTTAATAATTTATACTGAAAAGACCAGATATAAGTTTCACTAGCAACGTTATAGGGGGTCGAAAACACTTCCTGCAACGTGTTTGAAAGCTCCAAATCGGCTGATAAAGTAATGAACCTTTTCGGATATTTAGCTTTGTTGGTAATCAGCAGTGCATAAAACTCTTTTGACTTACCTGAGTAGGGGCCGAATTCTGTATTGTTATATTTAAAAATCATAGCGTTAAATTTCACCCGTGGGAAAGACGAAACCTTGTCCTTAGGCACAGTCAACCGCAGGGCAGACCATGTCAAAAAATTAGATTCAAGCCCTTTATTCTTAAGGCATTCCAAAGAACGTACATCATCCAAATTAAATGATAGATCGTTAGCATAAACGATTCCAAAATCTGCATATTTTTTTTTTGTAGAAAATAGGTTTTTTATCGATTCTCATGCCTTTATTATTCCTAATAACATAATAAGCATAATTGATATCAGAAAAATCATTCCTAAAACCGCCCACCAGATAAGTAACTGCCGATAAAAGCCGTTTAAATTTAAATTAAGATCCTTACATCACAATTACATTTTAAAAGCAGATTCCCTCCATACTTTTTCAAATAAAATACAAAATTTGATATCCATGGACCAACGCGCTCATCAAGAACCAGTGGAATCCAGGACAGCCTTAAGGCCTTTAATTTGGGTTTCTAGATTCGTAAGATTTAAGCCACCGTTCTGAAGCGAGTTAATAACGGAGGGTCTTGTCATTTATCTGGTCCTTTACACAAAAAGTTATCTATCATCCTCTCCATCTGTTTGATAATTTCTTCTGGAGTTTCCAATATTGTAGAAACATGTAACATCTTTAATGTAAGAAACGTTTTTATGATGGTCACTTTGCCAAACAAGGATAAACCCCTCAAACCCCATAGGTTGATCGTCTTTTGGATTTTACTTAATCTTTCATGAAAGTTGTGTTTTATGATTTGCCCTTGATCACGCGAGAAGTGAATTCCTAACGTTTTTACTCCAGTGCACTGAGTTCTTACTCACCCCACATCGCTTTAGTTTTCAGATATTCATTTTCAAACCAGAGCATTTTTCTGAGTTGTTCAGTCTTTGGATGAAAATTTATACAGAAGATATGTTCACCAAAATTGCAGTTGCAACAAATAAATAGGGTTACAGAGGTTGTCCCTGCCTTACACCTCTTTCCAGCCTGAAGGGCTCCGAAAATGATCCATTGTATATAATACAGCTCGAGATATTCTTATAGAAGGTTTTAATCCATCTTATCAGGGTTGGACCAAAATTAAAAACCTCTAGTGAATGATAAAGAAAATCCCATTCAATAGAGTCAAATGCTTTTTCAAAATCTATAAATAGTTGAATACCAGATAGCGTAGACGATTCAGTGTGATCGATAATGTCGAGGATTGAGCGAGCCACCTCTCCAATGAATCTACCCTCGATAAAACCAGATTAATTGTGGTGGATTGTTCGAGAAAGAACCTTTCTGATTCTGTTGACTATGAACTTAGAAGCAAGCTTGGAGTCAGCATTGACTAAAGAAATCGGTGTCTAATTTTCTAAATACATTCGATCTTTACCCTTTTTATCAATTAATGTGATAATTTGTGAACTTGACATTTCTCCAGAGTCAAAAGAGAAGTTAAAAGTATCAAACATGAGCTCACCTACATAACTCCAAACAGTTTTTTAAAACTTAGCAGACATACCGTCATTCACGGGAGTCTTTCCTTTTTCAAAAGTATCCAGTGCTTTAACACTTTCTTCAATAGTTATAAGTCCTTCACAACTTAGTCCATCCTCCTCAGATAATTTTTTAATTCCAGCTTGACCAAGGAAGTGTTCCAAAATGTCAGGCTGCACCGTATTAACTCTCTTATCATACAGGTTTTTAATGTATTTTAAAGACGAGTCTAGTATTTTTCCATAGTTTGTAACTCCACATAGAGAGAGTTTTCTCACAATAATTTAAGGTGATGTTAACGGCTTGAAGAGCCAGCAATCTTACTATCGCGTACATCTGCAGATCAGAGAGACACAATGGAGAAAGATCAGGCGAGCCAAAGACGTAGTAGAGTGAAAGTACAACAACGGTATGACGGTAAGTATTCATACTGCGCTACTTATATGCCCTTTCAAAGCCGAGTCAACTGAAATTGGACGATTAGTGATATTGTAGTAACAACATTTATTTCTTAGTTCATTTTATGAAATATGAAGCACGACATTCGTTAGGAAAGTATACCAAGTGTGTACACACTTATCAGTCAGTTTAGAAAAGTTACTACCGTTAGGGACTGGGCATGTCAAATGTTTCATCTTTCTTTGTTTTTCAAAATTTTAACCTTTCACAGCATTAGTGAGTGGTCTCATCTTGTTCAATTCATTTGTTTGATAGTCTTTTATTGTAATTCTGGTTTGTCATTTCCCCTTCATTCAAGGCTGTTGTCTGATAACTACTTCACTAAAAGTTTTGGACATAAATTGTCATTGACGTTATGTTAATATCAATTGAATTATTCTAATCTGAATATTGTTTATGTAGAAGTGGATAGATGTTCGCGATGTCCTAATTTGGAGAAGGAAATTAACGATTTAAAAACAGAAAGAGACACATTAAAAAACAAAATCAGCCAACTCGAGGACATGCGCGCAGACGACGAACAGAAAAGGAAGGACACAAAAACAAAGGATGAGATAATCAGAGAAAACAACACTAAAATCGCTGACTTAGAGAGAACGAATAGAATACAACTAGATCACATAGAAGAGTTGAAAAGAACAAATGAAAAGATTAAGACGAAGAAAAGAGATCTTGTGGAAGAAAAGAAAATGATGAAGAAACAGATTGGAGAGCTAAAAGCCGAGGAGGAGGAACTAAAATTGAAGTTACAAGTTCAAACAGATCTAAAGGAGCTGGATCAGCTAAAGACTCAAAATGGTGACCTGTTGAGTCAAATAGAGGAGCTCAACAGAAAAGTGAAAAGCTCTGAGTCAGAATGCAAGAGGCTACAAGAGGAGCTTAAAAAGAGCAGCAAATACCGAAGTCGTAAGTACACATAATCAAAGATAAAGGTGCCGTGATATCCGCTGTTAATTTGTTTCATTTTAAGGTTGTTTTGCCTTGTGTTAACCTTAATACCATAAAATAACATTCATTTACCATTAAACATGACATTTTTGATGGTAAATGAACGAGACAGTAGTTCGTATTTTAATCATAAGAGACCGCACTTCCTTACAATTTATACGTCGATCAATTCCAACAATTCCAAGGTTCCACACCCCCCCCCTCCCGGGCACCCCCCGGTTATTTAAACTTTTGAAGATTGATTTGTTCAAATTTCGGCCCCCCGCGGCCAAAATTAGGTTCAAATGTCCTTCTCAAACGCCGAATTTAATGGTCACATTTTTTTGTAAAAGGCAAAATTAAATCAGCGACCGTGACTTTCTACATATTGACCAAGCTTTAAAACCTGGACCTTGTAAACCTTCTCTTCTGAACCGTTCGCTGGCGAAAGTGAACTCATTACCTTAAAACACCTTGATATTTTAAGATAAAACACTTGAATTCCGCCAGAAAGACTTGACATCTCCAGTTTCAAAGTCCTCACACCCAGGCAGGGATGACGGTGAAATACCCGTGGGTTGCAGGGAAAGGGGGGGGGGGGGTGTTGAAGCGTCGAGTTGATCAGTTCATTATGAGGTAATACTCCCTTACTTTTTTTTTTGGAGAAAAAAAAATTTGCAAGGTGTAAGTAGAAGAATAGTCACTAAGAAGGGACCAAGAGAAACTAAGTTATTTTGCTCTCGTGACATAATTATGCGTTTACTGCGATGGATTATAATTTCTTGGTTAACTGTCACAATAGGCGATTGGTTGTGACGGTTCATGAGCAAATGATCAATTGAATAGATGAATAAGGAAACGAAATGATAGACTGATAACCTGATGAACGTAATAACAGATAGTTGTTAGATGCTAGATGATGAGGAAAGAGGCTACGTCGTTATTTTAAGTTTTTTTTTAAAATTTTTTTTTATTTTTACTCTTAGCAGGTGTTTTCTTTCCGACTGGAAATGAATTTGCCGGAAATTGTCCTGGTGTCATATGCTTCCTAAAGAAAGATGCTTCCGCAAAACTGCGTGCTTCTAGATCTTCTGATGGCACGGGAGAAGCAAGTGACATATTGAACCATAAGAAAAGCACCATTAGTGGAACAGCGGAAAGAGAAAATTCATGGTGGTCCATTGATCTGGGCATAAACCATCGACTCATAATCACACACTACTCTTTGAGACAAGGCAAAAGGCATGGAGAATCAGCACTTACCGATTGGCAACTAGAGGGATCTCATGATGGAAAGAACTGGGAAGAACTTAAAACTATTCACAACGGGAAGGATCCACAGTTCGCCGCTCCTCCTCCATTTTATACAGGTACCTGGTCTGTTGGAGGGGAAATACCGGCTTTTCGTTTTTTTCGAATTTTCCAGACAGGTAGAAATTCCTCTGGTAAATATGGAATATACCTATCTGGAATTGAGCTGTACGGAGTACTTCTGAACATATGAGACCTAACAGCTATAAAGGCTTTAACTTTTAAAGTTTTCATCAAGCAGTGGAGATAAAAATAGTACCTCTCAGGAGGCAAGGTCTGTGTAAGACTTCCTATTAAAAGTGTCTTTGGGTCTTAGTTTTGCCACATTTAGAGTATTGGAGGTTCTCAATGGAGTGATGGCTTTTACGGCTAACGGTTAAAATTCTGGCCATTTTACGGCTAACGTTTAAAATCTATATGGAAGCGATCTTCGCAATAATAAACACTACTTAATCAGTAGTAAAAATAAGGCCTGAAAAAAAAATTCAATACAAGTGTTTATTACTAAGATCGCTTTCATATTCAAAGATAGTAAAGATGCAAATTTTAATGATCATTGTTTTCAAGGATATTGTTAATCAGTATCTTACCAACCGAGCTAACAAGCCAACTAGGAGCTGGTCGTTATGTTGATTTCAAATAAACTCGTAAAGTGGTGAATAAATCACTGTAAATATTTGAAAATTATATAATTATGTGAACTGTGGGTCAAGAAATGAATTTAGAAGCAATTTTTGCAGTAATGAACACTACCTAAGCAATAGTGAAAATAAGGCCTGAAAAAAAAATTCATTGCTGCTTAAGTAGTGTTCATTACCGAGATCGCTTCCATATTCAAAGATGGTACAAAAGCAAATTTTTATGAACATTTTTTTCAAGGGTAATGCTTATCAATGTCTTAGAAGCAGTTACATGAAATTGTAGACATTGAAAAATAAGAGAATGGAAGAATCTGCCAGTTGTCCATGCTGCTTTATACTGAAGGCACCGTATCACAATGGTCTAGACTATAAGTAAGACATGCAAACAATCATCTTACACATGAGCCTTAGCGATAGAGTGTTAATCTTCGTCTGCTCGAGTTTTGTCACGAAGAACTCATTCACCTAGGAAATTAGTGAGTTATTGAATTTCCCAAACCAGGGGAGAAGGAGAGAATCATCAAACTGTTAATAATTGTGATAAGGGGCGTAGTTTTCTAAAGTGGATTGTCAGCCTATTTTTCAAAAACATCCGCATTAGTATTTCTGACGAGCCTTCAGTGGTTAGACTTAAAGTGAGAAATAAAAGATCACTCGATTGAGTGAAGCGTTTTGTGTTCATCTGTTAATTGAAGCACGCAAAATGTAATGAGGGAGTGGAACACCGAAATAGACTCAGAGAGTTAAAAAAAAAAAGGGGGTTTTGACAACGTGCTGAACACAATTAGAGACTGAGTCATTTTTCTCTTATTCGAGTGCTGAGGAAGGATAACTCAAGAGGACCAGATATAAAAGTAACTACAGAGAGAAAAAGTTGCTGATAGAGTCAGAAATAGCAAACGTTGTTACTGTCGAACATTAGAAACTAAATGGGGTTGTGCAGCTCAAATTTTATCAAAATGTAACAATCTGATTGGCCACACTACTCGCCCTCTATTCGGCATTAAGTAGTCAGTAACCTACCAGCGTGCGTTCAGAGACAAAATGAAATAACAGTGGAAGCCTGTTTTGTGAAATTTGGACGACTGGTAGATTAAATATGAATCGATAAGATTATTCGCTCGTGATTTCCAAACGTAATAGGCGATTCACTCTTCAAAGTCATCAAAGTTTCCCACAAGACATCTCAAGCTCATTATTCAACTATTAACCCTTTCACTCGTCCTTACTTGAAGGGGGGGGGTGGGGGGGGGGGAGAATTTGAACCTTGCCTGGTTGAGGTGGGGAATTTGAACCGGAAGTATCAAGTCTTTCCAGAGGAATGCAAGTGTTATATCTTTGAATATGAAAGTTTTAAAGGTAAATAGTTTACTTTCGCGAGGTAATGGCTTAGAAGAGAAAGTCTACAAGGTCAAGGGGTTTAAGGCTTGGTCATGAAATGTAGAATTTTGCTTTTTACCAAAAAAGATGGGCGGGAATTTGAACAAACCAATCCTTTGCCCGGAGATTTACCCAAGGGAGGATGCCAAAGCTTCGAATTGAACGACGCATAAACTCTAATTTAGACTACAGTGTCTACAAAATTGAGTTTAGAGTGCCAAAATAATCCGAGGTGTTAATAATCTGAGGTAGACCGTAGAAATGGCTTGTGAGCGGGTTAAAAAGGCTAAGTTGAAGAAGCTAAATTGATTCTTATTCTCCGAACAGTTGTTTCGTGCGTCAGCTGTGCATTCATGGGAAAAATTTTAAAAGCACTAAAGGTGGTAAAGAGTTTGTTGAGGCGTAGCCGAGGGTTATTCTAGCCTCTTAGATTAATGAGCGCTCAGCTGGCCCGTGAATGAGTTATTTTATGACTTTTTCCGGGGTGTTAGCAAAAAGATGTATTATAAAGAGTAGTTTATCGTCAGTGCACACGCACGTTATCATCTTTCACAATTTTTTAAGTCAATTATACACCCGTTTTGATAGGTTCTTACCTATGATCTTTTGGAGAATAGACGTATAGAGGTCATCACCTTTACCAATGATTTGCTCTTTTTTTAATCATGTACAACAAATAGATTTCATGTTGCTGCGTGTCTGTACAGTAAATACGTAGATTAAGATATAGATCAATTGAATCGGATGACAATAAACTCGCTCGTTTTGCATTCAGTTTGACCGGTTCTACGATCGCGACGATAGCCTCCGTCTTTGCAATCTCTGAGGAAAGGAGCAAGTTGCAGTGAAACTGTCAGATGACTTCTCGGTGAAAAATCATCGTGCCTCGTGGCACAGCTGATTCTTTCGCCAAACTTTAGCTTTTAGTTTATTAAGGGAATTTCTCCACAGCAGCAAAACTCTAGAACACTGCCCGAGAGGAACGTTCGCCGCACATAGTGCGAAGGAATAAAATGTTATGGCAACAGAAACGAACACAGCTATTCATTCTTATGATAGATTTCGCTGTAGAAAGCAAAACACAAACGCAACAAGCTAAACATTCAGTAACGGGAATTTTTTGCTGTAATCTTGACCTGAACACCGCAGGCGAGAAACCGTCTTTGTCAGTCATCGTCGAAATCTTCGTTTGATGCACGCGGTTCTCCTTCAGAGGGGCTGAACCGTACAAGTAACTTCCATTTCCTCTCTACTAATTGAGTACGAAACAAAACTCTCGGTAGAGCTTGCTGAAGGTGGTACACAGAGTTGTGAGAGATTTGTAAATGTCAATTGAGAGTTTTCACAGTTTTGTACTTCATCAGCCGCTAATTCGTTACCAGTCCACGGGACACTTGAAGGACAAAATAAGAGCACTTTAAGGCCCGAAAAAACCGAGTTTTAAGTTTTTTGAAATTTTTTCTTCTATCGGAATTGGCTTTTACATATGATAAGCTAGATGTTTACGCAAAAAAAAAAATTTGTGTCATGGGCACTTTAATTACTCTGTTATACTCACCCACCGACGCAGCACCACAGTTTCCTTAGAAACTTACCTCCTTTTGACATGATATCATGTCGAATTCAAAGTCGTCCGAGTAATGCCTCTTTTTGCAGGTTGATTAAAGTATGCATAACAAAACATTATCATTGTCAATGAATTATAAAACCTCGTGTGTATGTTATCTACCGAAGCTTCACACCTCGGCATTGATAATTCATGATATCATGCTCAACCTCATCTAATAATTGCTTATTTTTCTCTTGAAGTTGAACGAGCGACAGTAAGAACTTGAACAGACTTGTCAGTGTTTGATGGGATGCAAAAAAAGGCCGACTGTGTCAGTGTAATTACATACTTGAGAGAGTATATTATCAAGTAATCCTGAACATTTTTCACGAAAAAATGTGGTGAATTGCATGAGTTAAGTAGGCAGTGAAGTAGGCAAGTCTTCATTAGGATGCGAACTAATGAACTAGTTTCTTTGTTTCAAAAAAATTCTCCTTGAGTTCCCTCCGCTCGACGGTGTGTGATAACAGGAAGATCGTAAATTTCCATAACGAAGTTGCTAAATTGCAAAACTGCGTTGATTCAAATGCAAATTATCTCTTTAAATATACCAAAATCTGCCAGAGTTTACAATAGGTCTTTGAGTTTCCTCCTCTTGAATCCTGACCCGCTACAACAGCATTCTGCGGTAAGGGTGTCATGTGAGTTTAATTGTCTCAAAGAGCGGTGCCATAAACGTTCTAGAAAACTTACTTTTGTGGAGCGCAATTAGTCAGGTTCAATTTGAACGGTAAGCCTTATCTTAAATGGTTTAGATCGTATATGGTTTGAAACTAGGACTAACTGTTGATCTGTGGTTAAGTCTGATTGTCCGAGGGAGAGTAATCTTAAGAGGACTGTTGTCGATAACATAAAAGTCACTGACGTTTGGACAACCTTAGGAAGGGGAGAAAGTCATAAATACATCCAAACGCCTTATCAAATAACGAAAGTCGGTTCTTGTAACACGATTTTATTTTCCAAACTAGTTTTTAGTTCTATAAAAATACGCCAGCAATGGCATTCAACGAAAACTTCGGTTAAATAATACAACAGTGAGTTCTACTATTAATTCCCTTCGTCATGCTTAAGGGCCCGGATGAAAGAATGCCAACAAACAGAACATTAGTGCATAGCCTGAATGCGATCAACGGGCAAAGCTCAGCCAAGAGTTGCTTTTCGTTGTCGAATTCTCTTTGCAATACCTTATCAAATAATACTTTGAGAAGGGTAACTTGATGACAGGAGAAGACGAATGCTGCGATCTAATTGATTGACCTTGTAGACGTAATCGCTATAATACGCGGAAAACTTTCATCATGAAAAGAAACCATAGCAACCACGTTCAATAAACTTTGTTCCTAATTATAATCACAGGTTTGACTCCTTCGTTTCATAAAGGATATAGAGAGGCGAGAATGTTTCATAGAATGAGAAGTTGTGAGAAAATGAAAAATTACAAACCAATGGGGCTGTGGAATGTTGAAGGAATTGAAGCAATTTATGATTATGCAAAGATAGTACTTAACATCGCTCATATGCCCGACATCATCAATCATTCATAACCATTGAAGCGGGCAAACTTGAGTGGTTTGTGAAATTACATGGCATCTGGCCATAACTTGTGCATTAAAAGAATTTCAATTCAAGAAATTCATACTAGAGCAAAACAACCAATCAGATTTCAAGACTCGTTTAAAGTAAACAATCAAATTGAAGTAAAATAAAAGACAGGAGGCCATTTGGGAAATCTTCAGCAAATTATAAACAATCTCAGTACTGGATCAATAACATTTTGTACTGAATTAAATGTTCCTTTATTTTGGCAGGGGTAATTGCACTTCGTATCGCATAATCTAATAGAGCTAGTGCTGCGTTCTGGCTTGATTGTGAAATCACACGGATGATTTCACACCAAATTGCAAGACACAAAGTTCATGTTAATATTTGTAAAGCACAGCAAACTGAATAATATTAACACCCCATAATATTCCAGAAAGGATATA